TGAACGTGGCTGACAGTGGCAGTGAATTTCAGCGTTAATTACGCACTAACCTTTTCAGAATGGATATTTAGACATGCTGTGTCCTGCGACTCTGAATGTTTCAGAAATGAAAACATCCAACGCCCGATCAGTATCTACTCACATTAGCATAGTGTTTTAAAGCCCAGTGCCCTAAAACATGCCACGGAAATCCTCTCCTATTTATCTTAAAATAGCCACTTAACTTTGACTGACACTAATTCTTACTACATGAAACTGTAGAAACCCCTCCATTTCCCCCTTCTGTCTCTGTCAGAAAATTACAAAAGACAGAGTTTGTGATGTCCCCAGTGTGCAAATCCTTTTATTCTGTCAGATTACAGCATTTGATATGACGTAGTGCGGCATTCTGGCCTCACATGCCTGCCAGAAAGAAGGGACCTGTCAGCAGCAGAGGAGAGCAGTGCAGATCATCACTCTGACTGATCCACAGGCCCAGAGACTGTCATCTCCTCCGACTGTACAAGTCAACACAAATAAAAGTGAGGAAGCAAAAGCCATAATGACTGGGAGAGATCCAGGCTCATTGTGGCCATTACTTTTATTCAAACCTTACAGATGACATGATGTGAAAAATGAGCCTGTGTCTAGTCGGGTGCCCATTAGTGAGTGAGCACATTATCTCCCCTTTTTCACATTGAATCTCCTCCCTGCATGCAGTGGCAGATGCTCCCGAGGAGTCACTCACTTTTATGGGCTTTTGACTGCAGTACTCTTTTAAATACAGGGGCCTCCACTAGGCAGAGATGATGTATGGCTGTCAGTGCTCTTTACCTCACTGACAGATGCCTTCAGTGGATCCCTGCTTAAACCTTCTGTCTAAAACTAACGGGGACAGCTAACCTCTTCCTTCACAGAGCAGACAAGCATGCATCAAATTGATTATTGCTGGAGAGGGGGTGATTTCTAAAAAAATCTCTATTACCAGACAATTACAGTGCAATTTACTTAAGTACAGTCTGAAGGCAATCATGAAATACAATTCCCCAAAACCCAAACGAGTACTATACTCAGAACCTAAAAATTATAAATATTGAATCTATTATATGGAGTATAGGAGAAGATAAATTTGATTACCACAAAATGAAGATGGACTAGTGGCCCACACAAAAAAGAAAAAGAAAAAAAGAGGAAGAAGACCCATTGAAGAAATGTTAAACCTCTCGATGCAGTAACACCGCTAATTGTTATCAAAAATCCCCAAGATGATGAAGGAAAATCGGTTACTTTGTCAGATTACTATGTTTAAGACGCATGGAGGAGACTGACAGGAAGAAGAAAAAGTGCTTCTCTTTCTTTTCCATCTATCTAGGTGGCAAATTTATGTGGTACACACTCAGGAAAGAAAAAAAAACTTGCTTGGAGATATTTCAACCTATTTTTTGGCACATTTTCAAAGGAATGAAGCAACGCAAATTTACAAAGCCTCAACTTTGATATGAATTCTACAAATTTTTTCAGTGAACAGACATAACGGCAATTCTTTGCAGACTCTTGGCAAAACCCTCCATCTGATCTTTTAAGGGCTGATGAAATGAATATGTAAAAAGTGGAACTGTTGGAAAATAAGAAAATGTGTGAAGTGAGAAATAAACATAATGTCAGCTGAGAAACATGTGAATAAATCCCCTTTTTCATTCCCAGTGGCCAGTCATGCATCAGTGTACAGTGTGCTGCAGTGAGCAAATATTCAGCAGCATGGAAACCCCCAGAGAAGGTGGAGCTTATTTTTAAAATAACAAACTTTATTCTACAATAAGAAATACATCTAGATTCGGTGCTACAGAGCAAAGCTCAGAGGTTGTGTTCGGTGACAGGGAGCCTTGGCTTCTCTCAGGCATGAGTATGAACCACAGCCGCCTGGTTCAATCTAATCTCTGACAAGAAACAACAAGCCTTTGGGACACCCCTGGGGTCCACCTCAACACCACACAACATCATAAGCAGCTCAACTCAGAGGGTTAGATCTACTGTAGCTGTCAGGGGAGAAATATGTTTCCATTTTACTACTTCAGTGGCAAGGAAGACCATACAAATGCTCCTCTATTGCCTTCACTATTGCTCACTCGTTTGAATCCCTCTTTTCTCTCTTTCGCCTCTGTCGGTTTTCTCCCAGCACACATACTCAAGGGGTTCCTTGGTGACTGCGTCCCATTACTAGCAAATGACAGCTGCACAACAGAGCTGAATGTCCCCAGTGACTCTGTTCACCACATTCCCAAATCCAGAAGTGTGCAGGATAAACAGGATTTGGTAGTTTCAACCCAATTCACTTCTGTCTGTTAAATTAGTAATTTGAAAAAAGTTGTTCCAGGGATCAACAGTTATGCAAAAATTGTTATAAGATATTAATATTTTCTGAAAGAAATTACAGCATTTTATCATTCCCTTGTCCAACACACACAAACTTATCAGCTGAGTAATGTTAATTTATCAAAAGGTGTCAATACTTGTCAGTGAAGTACTAAAACCAAAGATATACAGAGAGCAGTTATGCAAACTTAGTTTCATAATTTGTAATCAATTCCAATTAGTATATTTGCAAATACTGACAATATGAATGGTATGTCAATATTATATACTGCAGTATCTAGGCCATTTTTTAAATTATATGTTTATAATTATTACTGATTCCAATAAGCCTATTTCAGTAACAGTAAAGTCAATTGCAACAGGCTGTCATTAATTTCAGCAGCAAGGTGACTAGGTGACCATTTTATCTGGTCACAGACAGTAAATTTCAGTACCACGGGGTAATGTTAATACCATCAGGGCAATGCCTGTTATGCACAGAAGGCTTCACAGTATAATAGTTTATAGATGCAAGTTACTGTTGACTGTTCACATTGTTCACACTGTTCAGACAGTCTGTTCCACTGTCAGTGTTTATCCAAACATGCTAAGTTCCAGTGATTCCACAAGGATCTCAGGCATGATTGTGTTAATCACCTGACACACCTGATTTACCGATTCATTTTCCCCATTCATCTTGGGCAAATGTAGCGACAGCTTGCAATCTGTTTGTTTTGAGTTGTCAAAAAGGAACCAAAGGCATGTATCAACACGGAATAAATGCTACTGCAAGATGTCACCGGCTGCACATGAGATGATGAATTGCAATCATATGTTAATCAGTCGAAGTTGCAGTGATGAGTTGTTTACATGGCGTTCCGTCACGAACCTTGGGCTGCTTTATAGATATGGGTTCTCAAACTGACAGGAGCAGGTTGCCATTTGTGGTACTAATGAACAGCCTTAACTTCTTTTTTTTTTGTTTTGTTCTTTTTATCTTGTTTGTTTTCCAGCACCATAGGAACAACTAAAAATGCATTTATGGATTAAAAAGTGTCTTCAGTGAAAAATTAGCTGAGTTTGCTCATGCGATTATAATTACTTTCTTTAAATTTGGCCGCTTGTTATTGTTGTTACAAAATGTATGCATGACGAGCGCTGCTAAGACTGCCTGACAATACTGCAAAACCAGTAGCGTTTTCATCCTTCATCACTCACTGTATTGCTCTCTGACATGCATGCAAACCATGTAATGTATGTGTGGGTGTGTGCGTGTCTGTTGTGGAAAGCTGGCCACAGAGCAAACAGCAGTAGGTCCAGCAACAAGGTCAATACTAGCGTAAGTACCTTTTTATTTCCCTAGCCTCCCACAGTGTTAGATCCCACAGTTTGTCCAGCAAACGTACTAATGACTGGGATAGCCTTTCTGCTTTGCTTTTGGTTTCCATTGGTAGGAGAATGGGCAGGAGCTAGCTGATACTTTAGTAATTAGAGGACACTAATATGACAACACATACACAATCTGTAGACTAATATTGAGATAAAAGGGAATTAGGTACAAAAATCAATATCTCAGATATTAAAACGACCTTAGTATATATATTAACAATATTTTAGCACATAATTTAAAAAGAATATCTAAAATATAATTATTCTCTTCTATTATTAGTATTCAATAACAATATCTCAGAAGTGACCTAACTGTACCTGAAATTTTCTTTAAAAATAAATGTGGAGCTACTTGGTACGGTTGATAAAGCAACATTATTATCAGGCATATTTTCATGCAATAATTAACAGCACACTACTTGACAACATTGGTGGCTCTGCAATCTTGCATCCTGTCCTACTGGCTCAATACAACCTCTGTCAGTCATCTAAAGTGTACAGTAATGCTGGGGGGTTATATTTGATGCACTGGCATATTATTTCTTCAAATGCTGCTATACAGAAACAAGTAAAACAAACAAAAAAAAACACCTTCATGTTTCAAGAGGTGTAAATGTATTAAATTACTTCACGCCAAGAACACCATGCGTTCAGGAGCAGCCTGTATTAGATGCACACCTTTTTTCATCATATTGCAAAACAACTGATATCAGACTTCAAATTAATAACCCACAATAACACAACAAGGGACACTAGGGTCATTTCTGGTCATGCTGCATCTGTGCCGATATTATCAGCCAATATTCATTTACTGATCTATTGGTATCAGCATTTAACTGCCAATAAATGAAAGTAAAGAAGAAACAAGGAGAAGGTCTCTCAACAATGTCATCAGTGTTGTTGCATATTTCGTCCACCAGAGGGCACTTCACTATTGCATCACATGTTTTTGCATGCCACAAGCACAATAATCAGCTAATCTGAATAGAAGCAGGTAGAATAAATAAAAGCTACATTTAAAAAATGTAAGAGAAATCTGTTTATAAAAATCAGTTAAGAAAAAAAAAAAAGTCCTATATTTCATACTATCTGATTTCAAAAATCACCAAATATCGGTATCAGTATCGGTCGTAAAAATTCTGTATCAACTGGGCTCTAGAGGACGTGGCACTATATGGCACTACATTTAACCAAAAAAAAGCATAACAGGCAGAAGGCTAAGCTTTGTGTCAAACATTTATTTTTTGATAAAAGACTCAGGGTAGAATATTTATGAGTTTTCTTGGGTGATTTTATTTTAAGCTATTTATGTTTCATTTCTTTTATGATGACATTCAAGTGTTTAGTGAGCCATTGTAAACCTTTATAAAGCCACTTTTTTGCAGGAGTAGTAACAATAATAATAATAACAGTATTGTGACACACTGAAACTGCCAGAACCTTAAAAAATTACTGTGATGTCAATTTCTGCCCAGCACTAATGCACAGCACACTGCAAGTGAAGTATAGCGGTGAAAGCCCATGAAGTTTTTAACTGTTAGCTGATGCTGCCTTGAGGACTTGATCAATCCTGCTTAATGAAAATAGCCATGACTCTCTAAGGGATTTATTAAATAAGTGAAAATGCAAACAAGGTAATATTTTTAGAGAACTGGAAGTGACAATATAACGAAAGTAATTATAACAGTATATGAAAAATGCAGCGAGAGGCTGCTGTGTGTAAATAAATTAGAATCAAGAGTAAATAGAAACATCACAAGCACAGACACACTTATAAACTATGCTACAACTAAATTGCTTCCACACTCCATGGGCTCAATATGCGATTTAAAAGAACCTAGCGGTGGCAATATTCCTCTGATATGGTGTTTAGTTTTAATAGGAACCCTCAGCTCAAATATGAGCTGACAAACACAGCAAGACAAACACAGTCTCTCTCCGGCAATGAAATATACACTATCAAATAGACCTGTACCTTTTTGAATCCGCCGTGTGGGTGAAACTAAAGCGCAGAACAAACAGCATTCTGATATGGCTTTGAGGGTGATAACAGCGTCTGACAGGGTGGAGAGAGCAGCCTTTGGGCTCGGTGCGAAAACACAACCTGTGATTGACATGATTCCCTGGCCTTAGAGAAGTTTACCTTTTAATAAGAGCTCAGAGAGGCCCTCTCAACAGCCTAGGCTTTCACCGACAGCAAGGGACGTTTGGGGAGGTGTATGTGCATATGTATTTATGTGTGTTAGGCTTATTTGTGTGCATGTGTATCGACCCACATGTGTATCTGTGCCCACTTGTAGCAGATTTCAATCAAGGATTTCAGCCATGCCCAAATATCCCTTCTCTTTTGGGCTGAGTTGTTTGAAGAAAATGAGTGGATTCAGGATCAAGAGCCTTTCTGGAGGAATTTAAGTCTGTTTGAGGATTATGACTTCTTCATCCTGTACAAAGCCTGCAGAGACAGCTATATGCTAGCCCTTGGTGGCCGGGCTTAGCAATGCATTCCAGACTGCGATATAGAAGAGATAAAACCCAGGAAAGACATCACGGCGTTGGGCACAGATCTGCAAAATAAACAGGGAAATCTGAACCTTTCCAATTTTCATGTTGAATAATTCTTTCATGGTCTTAGAATATGCATGCTTAAAAATGTTACAGATGTGCTGTAATAGGAGGATATGTGGGAGGGTGAAGAAAGTTTTTCCTAGTAACCTCAAATAATACTGATGAAAACACTGCTCTTTAGCTGATAAACATAATTGCAAGCCCGCTTACTGCCTTTGTGAAATCCTGCAAACATTTCTCTGTACTTCTGACTCATGATTTCCTCTTCATGCCGGGGCTTGTTTCTTTGAACTCATCAAACTGCTGCAAAAGCCACACCTCTTTTCCTCTGACTTATAATTACAATTATCACGCCAACACATCCCCTGCCAGCTCTGCTCAGCATCTTCAGGTTTCAGCCAGGCTTCCTGCAGCATTGACAACATGCCGGATCTATTTCTGAGAGATGCCACAACTAACCTAGCCTCCAGTGAAAGCCACAGTGACTGTGAGGGCCACCTCGCATAAACTTCAGCTGATGAGAAAATAATGTCTGCACCGCGGCCAGCTACTTCTGGATCATCTCTGGAGTGAGCGCTGCTCAAATCTGTCATTATTTACCCTGTTTACAGCATAACCTGAAAGCAAAACAAGAAATCAATAGAAAATGGGGACAAATTACTGTAAGCATCAATATTTAAGACAGCTGAGATAAAGGGCTCTGAGCTGGTAATAGATTCTTTCCATTTACCATAAGCTTATTGAGAAGAGGGTTTGTCAATTGCTGATAAGCCCATTAGTTAGTTGTTGATAAAACAATTTAGTATCATTAAAGCTCTAAATATAACAAATAGAGCTTGTTAAAAGATAAGATTAATATCTAGCAATCATGTTGCCTCTCTTTTCTGGTGCATTTCTTTATTTTGACATAAACTTCAATGTAATTGTGTAGCTCACAATGAGAATTTACAGCAACATTATGCAGCAAAATCCAGTGAGTACGGTTGTTATGCATGAAATGATCCAACTTCTGATACCAAGTTGCCTCAGACTCTGACATTACAGAACAGAACGTTGATCTTGCCTGTCTACCAAGAATAATGAATATTACCACTAACTATTAGAATGTTAATACCATTATAAAGTATATTATTAATACATCGCACACCCAAATGTCCCAAGTACTTAAACAGATTAAGAACTGTAAGCTTAATTTTCCTTATAAATCCTACTAACTTGAATTATTTGAGTTCCTGGGACATTTTCTTCCTATTTAAGATGTAACTGATTGACTAAGCAAAAGATACGTTTTGTTGTTATGTGGACTGTGTAAGGAAAGTTTTTGCATTAGTAAAATATTATGTATGTTTTTCAAACCACGTTGTTGTACGTTTCTTCCATTATGTTTTCTTTTTATTTACTCAGGCTGTGTTTTAGTACCTTAATGTTGGATTAGAGAAGCAGCGGCACCATAGGTGGAGTGACACCCCTTTGCTGGTATCTACACAGAGAAAATTATTTCTGATCAGAGAAATTCCATGCATGACAAAAACAATATCAGGACGTTGATTTTACTCACGCTACAGTCCTTTTGTGTGTTTGTGTACCTTTAATCCCATGGGGTATGACAAAAATGATCATAAGTAAAAATTAAAATGCAGCATGTAATCCAAGTACAGTTTACAGTGATTTTGAGAGTAAACATGCTTTATTCAGCAATAAAAGACACATAATAGAACACACACATAGACAGCTAAAACCTCCTAACAGTATGTGAATCTCAAGAGTGCTTTGCTTTGTTGTGAAGGTTACCTGACTTTGCTTTACCCCAGAGCAAAGAGACTCAACTCGCTTCACTCTTACATTTTTTGTTCTTGATCAAGTTTACTAAACCCCGTACAAAATGCAGCCAAACGCACGAAGCAAAGCGATCATCCCGGGCAAAGGAAGCTATGAACGAGCAGGAAAGAGGAAGTAGCATCTCCAACAGACAGTCGCAGCAGGGCACGGACTAACTATAGCCACATCAATGACTAACTCTCACAGCAAGGACACCTCCCTTCACTTTGAAAAGAAAATAAATTAAACAACAAAGGGGGACACTGACATTCACAGCCTTTCAGTTTTATTGCACCAAATAACTACTCGTCATACTTCCAGCACAGGATCATTGTTAAGTTCAGTCCATAAAAACAACACGAAGAAGAAGAAAAAAAACATTTTGAGAACAAGAAGTTTTCTTCCCAGCTGGAATGATGATTGCTTTATGAATTTGTAGTTGATGTAGAAAAAGGTTCCCTCATCTCCTGGCCTAATATGGTCATTCCAACACAGGAGGACACCCATCTTTGTACTTCTTCATGCATTACACACACAATCAATAATGGAAAAATATACACTGTGAAAGGCCTTAGTTGCACTGCCTACAAGCGGCATTGATTAATGATTTTGTGCCAGTTATGACAGCAAGGTGCATGCAGTGAAGAGAGTGGAAGGCCTTTTTAATAGTGCAAGGAGAGAATTAAATCAAACCCAGGAGGGCCTCCACTGGAAAGGAGAGATGCTGCATCTCTCTGCTCTAAATCACAGCTCTACTTAAGCCCAGCCTTCTCTTTCCCCATTTTTCTACATTATCAAAGGAAACCTGTCACTGCTGTCTATGGTAAAGTTTACAAATCATGATTTATCAGAGAGAGGATCTCTAAACACCTGTGTGAGAAAATAAGCATCCCCTGCATTATTATTTATAGGCCAAAAAGTTTGTTTAGTCTTCCTTTGACTTGAGAAAGCGTTTCAAAACTTTGAAATCCAAGTTTTGAAAAATGCATTTAAAAAGCATTTGATTCCATTTGCGTACCTGCATATGTCATGTCCAAACAACGTCTCAAGTTGTTAAGTCGTCAGTGCAAAAACAAGCAAAATGCAGCTTGATATTATCCCAGAGTTGGCTAAATTAAATTTAAAATTCCACAAAAACAAATTAATAAATAAATAAAATATAAAATACACTAGGAAGAGAAACATGTTTAGCAGATTTATAACCTCTATTTTCTTTTCAAAAGGCTGGAGATTCTCAAATAGCCATGAGTCTTTATTTCTAACAACATAAGGGAATCCTAAGGATCCTCCTAAGGATCCTCCTATGTCTGCTGCTAGAGATGCAAACATCACACTTAAAACCTGCAATCCATACATTTAGCTCAGACATCTCTAGAAAAACAACATTTTAAATACACAGTACATTCTGAAATAGTCCATTACTTATTTTTAAACCTTTATGTCTTGAGAGCCCTAAACCACAACCCAGTTTTGAGACACTTTGTGCAGTGCAAACCGACAAAGCCGCAGAAGCTGGGGAGAGAAAATCCTTCTTACTGGCCACCAAGGCCAGTCGCTACCAGAATACTCCAGAAAAAAGCAGCAGCCCGAAAGCCATATAAAGAGAAGAGACGAACCCAGGGTGATGAGCACTCACTCTGTCTTCTCTTTGTTCCTAATACAGAACTTTCTCCAGGCATGAGCTTTCTGAGTAAGATATATACGACAGAATAACCACAGTGCTTTGTTTGTATAGAAAATACATTAGGATAAGACTGCTGCAAAAGTTTGAAAATGCCATTGGGGATTAGTGTGTAAATACACATTGTTGATGGGAAACTGATGTCATTAGAAAAAATATATATATATATATTATTTTAACAAAGACTGTAATTAAATAGAAAACACACATTCTACACATGTGCACTTAAAAGGAAGCAGATGTAACACAAACACTGAATATGAACATTTTTTTCCTTTTCTATTATTTTGTTCCATTAATATTTCAGTTTAATAATTAATAATATTTTTTTCATATCAATGCCTAAGAGTGTGATGTGAGCTGATTTGTGTTGTTAGGTTAATGGCCTGTGCATTTCAAATGTTTCACAGTAACATTTGAAGACAACTGGTAAAAGTGTCCACTGACTATAAATGAACAGAGCTTTAAATCCACCACACTTCCTAATGTAAAACAATTTCTTTTAAATTTAAATGGGGGTTTTTATAACCATAACCAAAGCAAATATCAGTTAAATAATAATTTCATAATTTCCCAATCTTTAAACACTGACCAGGCCTGAAGGTTAAAGAAATCACAAACTCCTTTACTATTTAAAAAATGTTAAAATATTTATACGAGAAAAAACAAAAACGAGGGCTTTGGGAAGGGGAAAAAAGCAAACAAGAAAACCGTTGCTCTAAGGGAAGTCCAGGCTGTAAATGTGCACAATATTCCACATTATATACATGTCATTTCAGAGTGCGCTCCAAGTGACGCAGTGTCAAATCTGTGTGACAGATTTAGGTGAACGCTGGTGAAGGGAGCTCTGCGTGGGGAGAGCGGCTTAGGGCTGACTCAAGCAGCCAGTACAAGATCTCCAGCAGGCAGAAAGGAGCCCTTCTCAGTGCGGAGCAGATGCCTGTCCAGCCCACCAACACCGAGTGCCAAGCAATAACCTGACACCATTGCCATCTTCTGACTATATTCACACATGACTCTTGGTATATACTGCGTATGGCGAAACACTGACAAGATAAGAAAATGCAAAGGAAAATTTAAAGCTGCTTCAAAAGGCTAAAGTCGAGTGTTCTATAGATAAAACCAATATTAGGAGTTTTTTTTATTTTAGTAAGACTGAATTGGTTCAACAAGTTCATGCTTCTCATGATATATACAGAGATGTGAACTAAGACACAGAGCCAGTATGTTGATTTATAATGTAATGTCTCCCTCTTTAGGTGGATATTGTGTGAGTCTTTCAAGAGTCCAAAACAAGAGGATTTGATTTTGACTGAGGACTACTTTTGTCATTTTTTTTTATAAATAAAAATAAATCTGTGTTTGTGTTTTTGTTTTTTTCACATAATGTTTTGTGTTTATGTGTAGTGAAACTTGAATTTAAAAAAGTACCTGTGGACATTTTAATTGAACTATGATGAGATTTAACAGTTTATTTTGAGGTAGAAAGCAGTTGTTTACGCTGAAGTTTAGATGTAATAGTGCTCTGAGAGTAGGATGCTGGGAAGTTCATTCTGAAATCTGGGCGCTTCCTGACATCTAGTGGACAAAACCGAGACTTCGCCCATGCTAGTACAAGGCAGCTGCACTATAAATGCAATTTTAAAGAGTATATTTTTCATTAACAGTGCATATCTAGCCAACATATTCTGGCAGCTTGCAGATACCATTTAGGAGTTGTGGGGTTTTGTTTTCTTTTGTTTTAAAAGCTTAAATGTTTAAATTCCATTCAGGCATATTCATCACAATAGTAGTAGAGCCTACAGTATTCTTAGTACTTATTATTTTTTTAATACATTATGAATCTTCTTCCGAATCTATCACATTCACCTTTATCATACATTATAGGCACAAAGATAATAATAATCTAGGACATAGGTGTCAAACTCTGGCCCGCGGGCCAAATTTGACCAGCAGAATTACATTTGGCCCGCGAAGCCATACCAAATTACTATTAGCGCTGGCCTACTGGTATTACACAGCTAATATATATATTGTTTAGTATTAAGCTTTGCTTGTTCCATATTCAGTTTTTCAGCAAAACTTGTTTGAGTCCATAAGAAAAGATTCATTCTTATATCTAGAGGAAGTTTTTTTTTTCAATAAATATTAGCGTTAGCCCGCGACTTTGTTCCAGTTTTGAATTTTGGCCCACTGTGTATTTGAATTTGACACCCCTGATCTAGGAAGACAAATGAACCCAGGGTAAATACACATATGTAGAAATATGAGATACAGGAGATTGTTTTCCAGCAATAAAAATCTTTTTGCATTTGAAAAACATGGTGGTGAGAGCCTGTTCTCCTGTATCCACATGGGCCAGAACAGCTCCCAGTTATTGACTAACAATGAATTGTGATTAAACTAAGAAACTTTGAAGGAAAATGTCAGAAAATCTGCATAATAACAAATCGTTCTATCAAAGAATGGTCAGAGCTAATGTTTTGGAATCGCCAACTTATAATTCAAACTAGGGCTGGGCCATATCATACCGTTCACGGTAATACCAGTATAATGTTAGGCAATGATAAGAAAATGAAATATCGCGATAGAATATGGGTAAACACGCATGCGCAGTGCCTTTGTTTTCATACGCACATGGCGGAAAAAGCATGGCGGCGACGGAGAAAGAGGAGGGCGAAAGCGGATCGTTGAATGAAACGGATGACCAAAGTTTAACCAAAGGGTATTTCCAGTGGAAATTGGCCGACATATCCAAATTCCACTGGAAATACCTTTTGGTTAAACTGTCAGCAAGGAATTTGCATTTGCACTGTTAATTTTTTTATATACATGTTTAAGTGAAAATACATTGATGGGGTTCTTTTGCACTAATAAAGTTGTGGAGTTGTAAAGTATTTTGTCTTGCGTCAATTATATCGTTATCGCAAACGTTCAAGTATATATCGTGATAAATATTTTTGGCCATATTTCCCTGCCCTAATTCAAACCCTAATGCACTACAAATGTCAAAGCGCCTCACAGAAATGTGAGAAAGCCAATCAGCAATTTTTTGAAGTTGGTCAAGGATCACTGTAGTACTTTACTCAATGTAAACAAAAAATAGGCTCAGAGACCCAATCTGTAACCATCAAGCTACCATGGACAACAAAGGAAAGATTTGTACAACAATTACTTGCAGTTGCTCTGACAGTGAGTACTAAAGTCCCATTCACAGGCCTAGAGAATGATCAGTAACAAGAATGACGGCACTCACTAGCCATTGGTTGCAAAGAGGTATATGGTGCTGTACCGAAAATCTCATTGTATACACAAGCTGATAAAACTGCAGTTGGTTTGGTCACTAGCCTGTTGCTGCGGTCACCAGTAGCTTGTATAAATGACACTGACTTCCTGCAAACTGACACAAAACTTACCAAGCAGTACTGAAAACACAAAAGAAAAGGAGAATGTCCACCTTCAAAGTAAAGGTGAAACTTTTACTTTGAAAGCAAACATTCTCTGCTTCTGGTCAGTGTCAATTTCAAGAGTCACTACAGCTCATAAAGAAAATAGAATTTTTCTTACCAGAGGTTATCATGGGTACGACCTTAGTGGTTAATAGGCTCAGACTCCCCTGCCACGAATGGATGGACGGATGCTGCAGGAATAAGTATAAACAGAAATGTATGATCTTAAAAGCCTGTCCATCTTTACCTACAATTAAAGTTTGTTAAAGACTCAGTTAATCAGTAAAGTTGTAGTTTTACAAACAACCTACCTTAAATGTTTCTTTACATTGTTCAAAATATATCATTCATCAAGCGTTCTATATTAAATTATTATGGGACAGGTTAAGGGTAATTTAACACCAATTTCACTTCATGCTGGCCAAATAATAATAATAATAATAACAACAATAATAATAACAAAATACTACTATTACTACTAATAATAATAAAAATAAAACCAGATGGTATATTTGAAACTATTAAACAGCCTGCTGCTTACATAAACCGCTGTCTAAACTGTTCTACATTTAGTATAACATCGCAGCTATTGGATACAAGATTATTTTATAACTAAAATTACTGTAGGGCTTCAATTTGGTTTGGGCTGTATTTCAGCCACAACACATGTAATTAACTCAACTAATAAAGCAGTCATTACCTCAATAATCAGTATCAATAATTAAAAATTGACAAAAAAAAAAAAGCCTTCACTCATACCATTAGGTCTAATAACTCTAAATTAAATGCAGCTGCAGAAGCTATATAAAATGTGTCATCTTGCAAATATTGAACGTTTTGCGAGTTTCATTTTGTACTTTTCTCCCCAAAGTCACCTTGACATTAGTCCTTCTCACTGAGACAGAGCAGCAACATTGGATAGATGGAAAGCAAAGAGGACAGAAATAGAAACTAACACAAAGAACTCATTTTGTTTCGTAAGTAAATGTAAATTAGTCTCACATTCTGCTTGTGAAAAAAGGACTAAAAATGCCTAAAGGCCTACTTAAGATAAGCTAGCAGACTGTTAAATTAAGTTCAACTTAAAGCAGTCCAATTAGCCATTGGAGTTTGACCAGAATATTAAAGCAATTCAAATTAAAGTGTGGACAGGTAATGTTAATGAGCTAGAATGCGAATTATTTCTATTTTAATGTGGTTATTAAAGAAGACAGGTCCACACATAATCATCCATTCATGTTAATGCTTCTTTTGAACACCATCATTTAATGTTTTACTGTAATGACCTGGTCATTTTGGAATATTCTAGCAGCTTATGCACATGCAGAGACACACAAAAACACATGTGGGTACATCCTGGACAGGTTACCAGTCTATCACAGGGCTAACAGTAAATCATTTACTTTTTGTATGACTTTGTTTGGGTACTGACAGCACTGGTTAAAGCAAACAAAATATCCTAGCTTGGTTTGTTACCCTGTGAGTTGAAAGAAGCTTTTATTTAGACTTACTCGAAACCACAATCTTTTTGTTAACTACATCAATGTGGATTTGACCACAGACTATCGGTTTCCAAATTCTGGTCTCTAATGTAAAAGTTTGTATACCTCACCAACACGCCTAAACCTTCCATCGACTCTAAGGCAGTTTAAAGATGTGGTACTTCTTTCATTTAAAACATTAATTTTTCATAAAATGGAGTCCAGCCAAAAGTTACAATGCCAGCACAACATAATTGGGAAAGTAATGAAAGTGAATGTGATTTCTGAGAAGTGGCTAAAATTATTCTTCAGAAATGATTCACTGAAAAACTGTTAAATAATGAGTCAGTCATTAGTGCTTTTCTTGAAAGATCCACTTAATTCTTACAAGTTTCTAAGGGCCACTTAGATATGCAACTTCACAGGATTAAAAAGCGTGTGCACCACCTCTTCAAAGAATGGTTCTGACACGTGTGGATAGCTGGGTGAACTTTAACTCCATCTGTTAACTGGAATTAGTTATAGCTGTTCTAGAGTCTGCTAGCCCTCTGTTAAATGGTGAAATGGACCTCTTCACTGCCATCGTGCTTGTGGTGCCTTTTGGAGCAATTTGGAGTCATTTTACAAATATCTGGCCTGCTGTTTGGTTTAAACTGTCCAAAAATTTTACTTGTGGAGAGTGAAAAATAAAAATAAAAATGAGGGACTTTTGCTAGCTGTCCTTGAATTTACTTCTACTACTACTTTCCAGCAACGGTGGCAAGAGTACAGACCTTTTTTTTTAAACTTAATTAGAACTACAGATACCTGTGTTTAAAAATGCTCAATTAAATACTGAACTATTGAAGCAACTTATTTACTTAAGTACAAAAAAAAAGTACAGGCTCTGAAATGTACTAACAGTAGGAAAGTAAAAAGTAGCTCTTTGAAGGACAGTTCTAATAACTCTTTTTGTAAAAAAGTAACTGAACTTGTGCTATAGTAATATAATATAAAACAATATTAGTACATGGAAAGGAAAATATTATTTCAATCTAAATTCTAATTCTCATGAAAGCTTCGATCTGTTATGTAGGACTCATATGGTGAAAGAGGTTTTTTTATTTTTAAAAACAGCTATTTTTTGTTGCCTGTGTTGTAAAGGGTGACTCTGCCTCCACAACTAAACAGGAAAGTTTGTACAGTCAGGGGCTACAGTTGGATGCCTCAGCATAGGGAAAAGAATCACAACTCACAGTAATTTCTAATGTGAGCTTCAACAGGTTTTCTTAGTGTACATGCTGTGATCAACTGACCTGCTGCTCGTTGTGGATTTACAAAGATAATTTCAACAATATGTAAGCAGTTTCATGAGCCATCTTGACTGATATCCATCCCCTACACTGACACTATATTGTTTATACTATCTTTATGCTAGATAATACACAGTTGGTATAAAGTTGCAATTCAGTTAATTAATGGAAGCATCATCAGCGTAAATGCAAATTTATCTCTGCTACACTTGATGTAACTAAAATCCGACCTTCAGCACCACAGCCACTGTGTATCAATCCAACACAGAGCTTTACTCTGAATTCACCACAGTATTGCAAACTAACCTGTTTTTTTTTTTTTTTTGGAAAAAAAACTACCCAATGTTTTCATGCAACACTGAATAATAAAGTTAGTATAGTTTGTTTTGCAGGACTTTTGACAAAATAAACATACATAATTTATCAAAACACATGATATACAAATCAAATATATGAAAATTTATGAAAAGTCTGTAAAAATATTTAAAATTTTAATCTGCAGATTTAATTCACGTTTGACTGAGTAGCCCTTACCATTAAATACAACCCCTCTCTACATTTGAAATTACAGTATCTCCTAATTTAAAACTCCCCTCATGCGTCCCCAATCTTCTGTAGAGCTAGCTAGATGCTAGTAGCACAAACACAACTTGGACACCTGCACTCCTTCCGGCCTCCTTTAACTGCCCTACGAATGATACTGTTGATCTTAAACTAACAACTCGGCTTTAAAAGGTAAGGAGTAGAAAGTACAGATATGTGTTTAAAAATGTAGGGAGTAAAAGTAAAGACTTGTCGGTAATGCTCAAGTAAAGTACAGATACCTGAAAAATCTACTTCGTTACCTCCCATCTCTGGAAGTATGACATTACTTCCGTTGTAAGTTTCTTCACTTCTCTAAGGGATGCAAATAGAAAAAAAAATTTAAATGAAAATTTTGCACCCTTTAACGTGCTGATTTTAGTTTCTGTGTTCATGATGGGGTCACCATTACTGTTCTGAAGGCAGGACTGTGATGCAGTTTTCTGCCTCGCCACTAGAGGGCACGGCCGTTTTGTGAGTAATGATTTGACTGGGATGAAAAATGGTGTTCATGGAGGCAGTGTGAATCACAAG